ATAGCCAAGATACTTTGGGAGTGAAATATAACATGTAAGCAAAATATTACATAAAACAATAACATGTGAGACAATAACAGTTCTCAGTTCTGAGAAGTTCTAAGGTTATAACAGCCTCCCTTATTTCTTAAGACTGATGAAACAGTGGTGAATGTGTACGTATGTGTGCATGTGTCTGTGTGTATATATGCATATACACACATATGCTATGTCAACATATATATGTTAAACACAAATACATACAAATAAAAATGGAGTATGTCATTTTAAAACCATCTGAAGGGAAAAAAAGAAAAATGTATTAAATCCAAAGAAGGCAACAAAAGAGATTCAGAAAAATGATAGGATAACAATAAAGGTTTTAGCATAAGTCAAAAACATCCATAATTGTGATACATGTAAATAGTTCAAATTTTCCAGTTAAAAGACAGAAGTGATAAGTGTAGATGAAAAAGAAACAGAAACCAACTTTGCATTATTTATAAACATAATCATAATGATAAAGAATGACTGGAAGTAAAAATACATAACAAAATTATACCAATCAAACGTAATGAAAACAAATGGTATAGCCAGATTACTATTAGACAAAATATACTTTCAAGAAGAGAGTCATTATTTTATAATAACATATACAATCTGGGCCGTGTTTTGTACATATAACATCTACAATATTTTTGTATCATGTAAGATGTTATTGACATACATACTGACAGATGATTCATTTTGTAAACAGATGATGTTACAATATTGATAAATAAAACAATACTATAAATGTACTTTCTCTTATGATTTTCTTAATAACATTTTCTTTTAGCTAGTTTTCCTTACTGTAAGAATATCATATATGATACATATAACATACAAAATATGTGTTAATTCACTACATATGTTATCAGAAATGCTTTCAGTCAACAGTAGTCTATTAGTAAAGTTTTGGGGGAGTCAAAATTTATATTCAGATTTTCAACTGCTTGGGGAATCAATGCCCCAACTTCTGCATTCTTCAAGGGCCAAATGTATAATAAAATACAAATAATTGATGAAAATTTTGAACTTGAGATACACTGTCAACACAGATGACTGTCATAAACTAAATAACTGAAGAAACAAAATACACAAAATAATTTGTTATAAAGCATTTAACTTGAAAATCTGCAATACAAAAATATAAAATGTTCATGGACACATACATACTAAATGTTTGAGAACATATATGAAAATGAAAAATGAAAAATAATACCTGCCTTTGTGGAGGGAGGATGAAGAGGCAAAAAAATGAGTTAGGGAGTTTTAAAGGAGCTTTGATATCTTACGTGCTTTATATCTTAAACTGGTTGGTAAACCACATATGTGTACAATATTATACTCCTTGGCATTTCTTTAAAAAATTAATGATACTATAAAATAGTAGAACATGCTTCTGATTTAAAATTTTATTAATGTTATAAATGTAGTAAGAAAACTTTTTTCAAAAAATCAGAAATTGCAAAATTTATTTATGTTACAATAAAGCTCTAGTGTGTCTAATAACAGGATTATGAGCTTTTTATCTGCCTTCTGAAGTCTTACTGCTGCCAAACAAATTGCAGTGATGACAGACCTTTAATATTGCTCAATATCTAAACCATAATTAGGAAGATTTTGAGATAAAAAGGTAACACCATGGTAGTTTTTAACATAATTTTTCTTTTTCTAATACTTTTCAAATAGAGATAAAAATTAAATGAGGATATTTATTTGAAAGCAACATATTTCCAACTAAGCTTTTACTCAACTCTGGGCTTGTCTAATACCCAATTTAACAGAGTATCTACTACTTATACAATGAATCAGAGATAATCTTTAACCATAGTATGATCTATAATGTATCTTCCTGGTGAGTGTTATCTCTGTACAATTATTTTTATTTATGAAGAAAACGGAATACTATGCATTGCTGTCTTTAGGAAGGCTAAATCTCATACAGTGCAAATGACTCAGAAAATACTACTATCACAAGGAAATACATAAAGTATATTTACCTAAAATATTTTTGGTTTTTATGTGCCCAAGTTGTCACCCTTAATATCTTGCATCACCATTACCACCATCCAATACCTTGCCCCACCTCCACTCTGACACACACACACTCACACACACACACATACACACACAGAGATATACACACACACATACACACATTTACTTCAGACTTTGGCACTTGCTTACAGTCCCTATCCAACATCCTAAATCATCCTCTTATTCCACAAGAATTCATAACCAATTCTCAAGTCCATCATCTCCTTGTCTATTACCATTACATGTTTTACATACATACTCAATCTATTATCATTACATGTTTTACAAGCTTACTAGGAACTTCAAACCGCTGCTGATACCATTTTTTTTATTCTCTCTTTCTCTTCATAGACAAAATTTTAAAATACATTCTACACACTTATCTCCCATTTATTCTAATTCAGCAACCCCCTTCCTATGAAACTTAAATCTGACCACTTGACTGAAACCATTCTTATGAATGTAATCCATCAACATCACGTCACCAACCTCGAAGAATGTCTCCAAGTCACATCATCTCTGAATATTCAAAAATTATAAATGTAAAAATTCTATAAAATTTCAGCCCTGTGACAGTTTTAATGGCACCTTATATTTCCATATGTCAATTTATCAGAACATCATTATCTTACTTCAGTATCTATTTTATCCACTGGATGGCAACCCTTATGATTTTCAGTTTTGTACCATTTTCCAGGGAGTTAACAATAACTTCATTACACTGAGTAAATTTTGGTTAACACCACTTGCCATTTCCTTCTTCTTGAGTCTTTCTTGACTTCAATGACACCACAATTTTCTAATTTTTCTCCTACACCTACAGGTACTATTTTATGTATTTGTCATATACAAAATTCAGGTTTGGTAAAGCAGTTTTAGCATACAGAAGCTAAAAAATAGTTTAAAATAATAAGTAAAAAAATTTTAAAATTATAATATAGTAAAATATATATGTATTATTAACTGAAAAAGTAGTGTTCAATGAATTTACAGAATATTCATCATAACAACAGTGGTCTTCTCTATTAATAAAAAGATAGGACATAAATATAGCAATAGAGAGAAATATGGTGATAGAAAGAAAAAGAGAAAAGTATAAATAGGTAGTAACTGTGATCTGTTAAACAACTGTTTCTACATTTATGAACTGTATTCCTTAGGTAGTTGTAGTCCTGTTTTTTCTTTCCTTTTAATGAACTTAGGAGAATCAGTCATTTTCTTTTATTATAAAGCTATCTATTTTGGTAAAAAATGTTACACCTCAACAGATCACTCAATTTATAAAAGTCAACAAGAAATTAATAATGTTTTACTTTGTAAATTGTTTTCCTAGTTTCTCTGTAGTTTAAAAGATAAACGAGAGTCTTATTCCTTTACATCATGGAGCCAACACTGAAAAAGTGGTTTGTCTGAAACATGTATGTTGACCTGACTCCAAAAGACTTTTGAATATGAATACAAATAAAACCTACCCTCAACAAAGGGTATGAATTATGAATATTAAGATGCTGCTTTATTATGTAAAGGCAATTATAAAATTAAAGATAACAACCCATTCAGATGTATGAGTTCAGTTATATTTTTAGAGAAGAATCATTGCTTACTTCATTAGGGTCATTTTGACTGCTACCGTACACAGCTTGTATATGGAATTTATTAGTAAAAACTGAATTACTAATATTGACACATTAATATTACCAATTTTAAAAGTTATTTCTCATCCTTTGCCGTCTATTACTTTGATGAGATTTTTTTTATTCTTGTAAAATGAACTAGGTAAGAGTAAAATTGTAAATAATTTGTTACATTTTCAGTCACAAAGTCACAATTATGGCGTAAGACAATTATAATAAAAGTACTGTTTTGGTATTATTTTAATTTTTATTAATGTTTTAATCAGTCTTTGAGGGGGTAATTAGGTTGTTACTTATTTATTTATTTACTTTTTAACGGAGGTACTGGGGATTGAACCCAGCACCTCATGCACGCGATGCACGAAGCTCTAGCACTAAGCTATATACCCTCTCCCTGTTTCGGTATTTTTTTTCCCATTTTTTTTTTCTTTCTTTAAAGACGTCCAAATTTAGGGGGGGGGGGGAGTACTGCCACTATCATCACCTGTTTCCAGAAGTTCAAAATGCTTTTACCTCAGCGGCTTACTGTAAATTTATTTAGACTAGAACTGCCTAAGAAAGTCTGAATCCTGCTTTGAAAGTCAGTGATGAGGAACTAATTTTAAATTTGGTCTGTCACATTAATTAAACAGGGAGGCCATTCACTGACGTGGCTCTAATACCTTGGCTGCCTACTGTAAGCAAACCAAAATCTAAGCCCGTAAATGCCTCAAGGTCGTGAAACCAAAACGCTGAGGAGAACCGATTCCAAAGGCCAGCTAGGCTACAAGCTCCAGCCAATCAACAATCTCCTTACTCTGCGTCCACCGTCTCTCTGTAACAGTCTCTCCCGGAGCTCTCGTCAGGTGGAGCGCGAGTAACCACTACCGGTTTGGCACAGCCGACTCAAACAGATATTTTGCTCAGATGAATTCTTAAAAATTTTAATATACTTCAGTTTATCTTTTACCAGTTCTGGTATCAAAAGAAGGGGCCAGAGGAGACCCCTGAGGGCCCCCAAAGCAACGAACAACCAGGCTGAGGTACCTTCGAGCCGCTTGAGCGCCCCGCTTTCCTGCCGCCTCAGGAGCTGATGGGTACATTATTCTCTCAGAAACCCGGTTTCAGCTCTGCAGCTTTTGCCTTATGAGCTTTCGGACTTTATCTGAGCACTTCTTGTTTCTGACTGAGTCCAGAAACCCCTACAGTCTGACTGCACTTCCTTTTCTGACCGAAACCAGAAACCGCTGGAGTCTGACTGGGTCTGACGAAAACGTCAGACTGGTTCCGGGGTCAGAGTGGGTCCAATTTAGAAACAGAACCAGTTCCGGGGTCAGAATGAATCCGACTTAGAAACTAGGCTGCTCCAGGTCAAAGTGGGTCCGACTTAAACCGAACTGGGTCCCGTGTGAGACCTCGGTGAATTAAAATTTGTTTTAAGGCTGAACAAGTAGGTTGAGTTTACCACAGATAGTCTTGAATTACAGCGGCTGCAGTGGAGAAATTTGAACCGTCTTAGGTAAGTTTATCCGTTTTTGAAGTATCCTAGAGAAAAAGTATTTGCTTCGACATCACCTGTCACCGTTTATTATTACTTTTAAATGGCTTTTAAAGGGAAAATGTCATTACGTAATCTCCATTTGTACTGTGAAGTAGTTTTGTGTGTGTGTGTGTGTGTGTGTGTGTGTGTGTGTTGAAATCAAATTAATTTTCTTTCAGGATGTAGAGAACTGTTTTTCAGATAAAAAAAAAAAGACCTACCCTTCAAAAAAGTCACAATCTCCCATTATGACAGATAAAAATATTTGTGAGACACTATCTCTATTAAATAAAATACAACATTGAATTGCAGTTTAAGGTAATAATAGGTTATCCCTCTTTGACTTTTTGGTCTAAAAAGGTGGTGTTTATGGAGAGATTTGTTATTTTAACTATGCTTCACTTAACAAAATTCTAAAATTAATAGTGAATGTTCATTACAAAGTGGCACAAAGAGTATACCATCTGTGACCTACTAATTGATGATCTCATCATGTGTTTCAATACAATTTGATATATTTGCCTTTAAATGTGACCACAAATCTGTCATGAAGACACTTTCAGTTCTTTTCTTACTCTTTAACAATGCCACACAATTCAAATAATTATACTACGTTGTGACATCTCTGATTATATATAAAGGGCATCTTCAGAATCAGTCATATTATTTACTAGATTTCATATGTCCTTAAATTAAGCTTTTTGCTGTTGAGCTATTGGACTTTAATCACAAAATTGGTAATAAAAATTATTTTCAGAATCTTAATTTTTTTAAGTTTTATTATGGAAAAATTAAAATAAATTCAAAAGCAGGAAGAATGATGAAACTCATGTACCCATAACCTAGTACATTATTTTTTCATTGATTCAGTAACATAGTAACAGAAATTTGGTGGTTTAAAACAGCATACATTATCATTTAGTATTTCTAGAGGTCAAAAGTCAGAAATGAATCTCACTGGGCTAAAAATGAGGGCTATATTCCCTTTTTGGAGACTCTAGGGGAGAATATGTTTTCTTGTGCTTCAAGAGGCTTCTACAGCCTTATGGTGTCATTTTTCCGTCTTCAAAGCCAGCAACATCAGGCCAAGTCTTTTTCATTTTGCCATCTCCCTAGTTTTACCTTTTCTGCTTTCCTCTTCTACTTATAAGGAGCCTTATGATACATTGTCTCCCCCACCTCCCACTTCTCTGTGCTGCAGGGTCTTCCAGAATAATTCCCCCATCTCAAGGTCAGTTGATGAGCAAACTTTCATCTGCAACCTTGATTTTCCCTTGCCGTATAACAAGATATTCACAGGTTTCAGGAATTAAGACCTGGATCTGTTTTAGGGGTGGGGTTAGTCATTTTTCTGCCTCCTATACCTACCACAATTATCAACATTTTGTTGTATTATCTGTCTCCCTTCCTTCCCCCACAACATACATACCCAAACTTTTTCTTGTGTTTATTTGCTTCAGTTTTATATTTAAGCAAATCTGACTTCCTATCACTCCACTTACAAATATTTCTGTGTGTATCTCAGTAGGTAAAGACATTTGTTTAATAATAACTGAAACAAAATAACATCTTATAAAAATAACTCTATAATGTGATCTAATACCTACTCAATTTCTGATATTTCCTCATTGTCTCAAAAATGTCTTCTACAATTGTGATAGAGGCAGGATCAAAAGAAGTTTCATGTGTTTTATTTAGTTGCTCTGTATGTTAAATTCCCTTTACTCTATAACCATTAGCCATCTACATTTTTCTCTGTTGTGTTATTTAATGGTTGATGCTGCTTAATTGTGTGTGAAATTACTTAGAATTTTCCAAACTTTGGATTTGGTTGATTACTGCTTCATAGCATAGTTTAACATGAACTTTTATCCTTCATATTGCCTATAAACTGGTAGTTAGATCCAGGTGTATTTTTGTGCATATTTTTCCTGCCTCCCCTTCCCTGACAAGAATATATTATTGTACTGTGTGTAATTTATATTGTATCATATTAGGTAATATATGGTGTGTAGTTACCTCAATTGTAGTGATTTAAGAATGATTATTAGATTCAGGAGTTGTCAATCTGATCTATTATAAAGTTCCTCTTCAACCATTCATTCACCTAATGACTTCAGCAGTAGTTGATAATAGTTGCCTAGACATTGTGAGAGCACCTTTCAGGAGCTTCCTCTGTCATATCTAACGTTGTTCAATGTTCTGTGAAAAATATACATATTTTCTAGGGATTTAATTAGTAGGAAAAAGGAGGTCCATTGGTAACTAACCAACTTTTCTGTCTACAGGAATATATAGCTCTTAACTTTTGTCTCCACTTCCTGCCATCTTGACTTCGAGTTTTTCACCCATCAGAATTTTGATGATATGTTTTCAAAGAGAGTACAACAAAGTGACTTATAATCTTTACAGAGATAATAGTACTGATAATATTACAGAGAATGTTGGGATTCCTATATTGTGTGTGTGGGAGGTATACTTATTTTTTGTGTTTTCTATGAGGATATACACAAAAACTGTATCCAGAAAGATTCTTTGGAAACTATTACCTTCATTTGTACTATAGTATTTAATCTCTTTTTAAGATACTATTATCCTTATTTAGGAAAAGACTGGATGATTATGTGTTTCTTTCTTTTTTTTTTTTTTACTGTCTAAAATATGTTAAGGTCTTTCTGTATATTACAGCAAAGTTCTAGTCACATATTCTAATTATCTAATTAGTATAAGTACTGTACATGAAAATTGCATAATTAGGACATATAATTAATTAACAGTTAAAAGGTATTATTAATTGGCATCCACAATGTCTATATTTATGCTTTACTTTTAGTAACAAGTATAACTTAGTAAATCATTTTTATAAATATAGGGGCTTTAAAAATCGTATTGTGGACACTAGTTTGATGGTCAAAAAATAAAAGGCTGAGCATATTAATTAGATAATGACTTTAGTCATGAAAGCTATTTTTCAAACTGCCTGACAAGAGAATAAATTTATTCTTTTGTTTTATGAGTACTCCTGAACAAACACCCATTAGTGTAATATTTGATCTTGCAATATTTTCATGAATGTGCTGTATAATAGTCTTTGGAGAAATGTTAGATCTTACATTTCTATTTCTTATTCTTAATTATAGATACTATAATGTAAAGTCAGTTATCAAATATTTTCAACAAAAACTTGGAACCCATTTGGTAAGTAAATCACTTTTTTGGTAATCAATTCTTTATATATAAAAAAGAATAAAGCCTATATCTGACTGTATATCTCATACATTCAAAATATACTTTATCCCATGTGCATGTTCATATGTCAGTATTAAGCATTTATGACTGATTTTTATTAATCTTTCAACTACTCATGTTTAACTTTTAATGTGTTTCCTATTTGACTATATATCACACACTTCAGAAATATTTTAGAAGCCATATTCCATTCTTCACGAATATGAAATATCAAAGATGCCCTTTATCACAACTCAAATACCTACAATACTGTATATTTGTCCTATGATATTTGCTGTGTTCTAACTTTAGCAATCATTCATTTCTACTGGTTTATAAATTCTCTCAAAGCCTTTACAAGATTGTGTTTATGAAAAATCTTAGTATAGTGCCTAGATCGTAATATGAAAGAACTTAAGTTGATTTATTAAAACTACAAGTATTCTAAAAAGGCCATTGATCAGTAATATTTTAAATCCAATATTTTAACATTTATTATTAAATTCCAATATTATTTCTAAATTAAAATGTCTAGTGTCTCTTTTTCCATATTCCCCTCTAGAGAATATATTCCTCTGGAGAATACATTCTAAAGAATGAGTAGAAACAAGAATATATAATATACTTAATACCCACCTGAGAAGTTTCAGTTTATATTCTTTGCCTCAGTTCACTATTCACTTTTGCCACCTTAAATTACTCCCAGAATACAGCCTCCAGTTATTTTCATGCACTTCAAGTCAGTTTGGACTATGCTTACAAAACTACTTTTAACACTCTTATTTCCAAAAAAAGTCATTTCAACCCCAGAACAAATTATTCATACTCATGTCTCATTTTGTTTTCTTTTTCCACTTCCCACTATAAAATTATCATGTTCCTTTTATGCTGTTGTTCTTTGAAGTTATAATTTGGTAGTTTATTAGCTATGTACTCCCAAATGTCTCTGCACTTCAACCACTCTATGCCTGCCCAAAAATATTTCTATGAGAATAGGGACTCTGTCTATCTCATTTATTACTGTATCCCCCAGCTCTGAAAATAGGGCTTGGCACAGGAGACATACTAAGTAAACATCTCCTTGTAGCTTAGTCTTTGAGATTTCTGCATTTTTTTTCCTTTTAATTACTGTTATGTGTTTTCTTTTAGATGTAGTGGATCTGATTCTCATCACTATTGAATTATCCAATTGGCATTACTGATTTCCATATTTTTCTGTTTGTTCAGGCAGACAGAGGTTTTTAAGCATGCTAATCAGTCAAGACCATTTTCTGAACTCCTTCTTACCTCCACTGTAACTTGTTGTCCTACTAAATAATGTCAGGCATGCCTTATCATCTGTTCTCTTAAAATTGCATGTGTAAACTCAGGTGAAATGAGAAGCTGAATGTCCTTTGCTGCTCAGTCTTTTATTTTGCTTGTTGAATCTATCTAAAGATATTTTGAGATGTTGACAACTAATACATAGTTCTATTAAACTTACAATTGGTAACATTTATGACATATAAATAAAAAATTAATGGGTAACTTTTTAAACCAGCAGTATTACTTATCTTTATTTTAAATATCTTGTCCTTTATCCTAATTTCGTTTTGAAGCAGTTCTGCTTATCATGAGCAATATTTGATTTTTCAGTTCTGCTCAAGTTCAATATGGTACATTTCTACTCATTTTCAAAGTCCTGGACTGTATTAGAATAACTTTATGGATAGTTTTAGTGACACTGTTACCAGGAGGAAGGGAATAAAAGT